AGCTTTTATATTTTGTTCATATGTGTTGTGTGTGTGTGTGTGTGTGTGTGTGCCTCGCATATCTCTCTGTGTTTGTTTATTTCTGATTGTTTGCCTGTGTGCGTGTATGTGTGTTTGTGTACGTGTGTGCTTTATAATGCCCGAAAAGAGTCGGCGTCATCATCAGTAGAACTTTGTTGCTTTTTTTTTCTTTCTTTGCTTATATTTGTATTTTAACAGTTCCAAGCGCTAACTTCCTTTTGCCCGAACTTTTGTTGGCGAACTAATCGATTTTTGTCCGTACCGGTCGAGAGTCATTTCTCAACAGCCGAAGCCAGCCGCAAATGAATATGCTCAGAGTCCCATACACATATAGAAGTATATACTATTTAGGTGCTGGTACCTGTAGCGCTATATACACATACAATCTTTTAACTCCAACAGCAACAACTACAACAACAACAGCAACAACAACAGCTACGTGATAAACGGCAAGCAGTACTCACGCTCACGTTTTGTGCGATGAAGAGCTTGTCAAATAGTTTGCGAAGAAAACACACACAAAAACAAAAAAAATACCCACAATAAGGTGTAAAAAGAAGCTTATTAACGCCTGCTTAGCTGATTTTTATATGCTCTTCCCAATCAGAAAAATTAACGAGCTAAATAGCTCATCAAGAAATAATTAGTTTTATATTCTTTTGCTCAAGTTTTATTAGTTGTAATGTTTAATGACTAACAAAAAGCGCTTGTTATCGCCGCCTCGTATTGCCCTTTATGGATCATCATAAATTGTTTAACTTTTAAATGTTGCAGGCTTGCCGACATTATCGTTTCATCATCAGTGAAATTCACCATAATCTGGACACAGCTACTACTGATGGCTGATTCACGCTCTAGCTAATCAGTGACAGTTTTATATCAGTGGCAACTGTATCTGGGAATCGATTGACTCAATCGAGAGTAGGGCACACAGAGTCAAGCCATACTACAAATCAAAGCACAGGTTTAACCGCATGCCGATTATTCATATTATTCATAATGTCTTTGTTGCTATGTATACTATACACATTCATATATATATATATTTATATACGGCAGCAAATTTTTGCCAGGCACATCGTTAGTCGATGCGATTCTTGATATATTCAGTTGCTTTACCGCACCCCCTTAATCAGCTAGTGCTAAACATTATTATTTATTATTTAAGTTGACGATATTTTCTACCTATTTACCTCGGCCAAAGCGAAAAAATATGGTCAGCCGGTTTAACGAAAGTCGTTGGGAGTGTCAACGGCAAGCCTCTCTCTCTCTCTCTCTCTCCATCTCTCTCTCACTCTCTCCCCCTCCACTGTATCCGCACCCACTTTTACTTGTGGTCGCGTGAGATGTGAGCTTTATATAAATGGATAAACACAATGTGGGACAGAATGACGATTGGACGGACTGCCGTTTGTGTTTGTAAAGCTTTTCGCTGTGGGTCAACAGCATATGCAAAATCGTGAAGAGTGCGTGCCAGCAACCCAGCAGCGAAAAGAATCCATTACAAATTCGATTCGTAATCCATACTTTGTAGGCGATGGATATACGTATACGGAATGCGACTCCATATACCAAATAACTTAATGCAGTTGCATTGCTGTGTGGAACTTATATTTTATATTATTCAAAGATATATAACAATTTTAGATATAAACATTAAAATATATTTTACTTTTAACTACACAAATTGCATCACAGATAAAAAAAAGCAATTCTGCATAGCAGAGTATTGCTAGGCAATGAATTAAATTGTATGCAAACAGAATGCATTCAGTGATGAGTGGTCATTGATTAGTTCGCTACTGGGTAGTGACGGAGAGAGAGAGAGAGAGAGGCAGAGAGCGAGAGAAAGAATGAACACTACAATTGAGCGCTCAAGTTAAAGTTCAGCTGACCTTTGGGCAGTGCCTAAAAATAGGTTTTAATTAGGCATTCTGAGTGCTACTCATTAAAGTTATGAGTGGAATGGAAGGAAACTTGCGAACTGTGGAACTAACTGCTTACAATTTTATAGCATTTACAGTAAGGCTATTTATTTATAGATTGTTTAACATGCAACATTTCTGAGTCCTTTAAAGTTTAGTTTCCTTCAAGTTTCTTCAAGTATTTCTAAATTGCAAATGGTACTCACATTTCCGTAACTTCTCATGCTGGAAGGACTCAGGCTGAAGAGTCTGCCCAGCTGATGATGATGTGTGGGCGAACCATTGCTATTCGCTGGCGAGCAGGAAGCGCTAATATCCGTGAACAGAGGCGAATGCGAGTGATCTATAAAATGAGATGCTTAGTAAAGTAATGGTTTAAGTTATGCCTCTCAAACTCACCACTCAGTTCCAGGGCTGGCGACATGTCCTTGGCAAAGGCAAACAAATCGTTATTGTTGCGTATGTCCGATGAGTTGAGCGTTAAGCTGGGCTTGCGTACGCCCAGAAAACTGGAGGAGGCCGAGGAGCAGCCGCTGCTGCTGCCACCGGCACCATTGTATATGGATGGAGTTGTACTGCTGCCCGTGGGCGTCACATTTGGCAACTTGTGCGATTCCAGTGGCGATGCCGATTTGGGTATATAACTGTTGCCCCCGCCACCATTCAGATTGCCGCCGCCTGAGGTGTGACGTTTGAGCAGCGGTGCTGGCGGCAGTTGCGATGGCGAGTGACGATATATGTTGCTCGTTTGGGCATGGGGCAGTGTGACCGAGTCACCCTGTTGCTTCGGTATCGCCAAACGAAGCGTTTGTCTCGCTGCTAGCCTACGTGCAGGCGCAAATTGATTTGCTTGAGTCTGATTGCTGCTGCTGTTGTTGCTGTTATTGTTGTTGCTGCTGGCATTGCTGTTGCTGGTGTTGTTGCTGCTGTTGTTTCGGCTGTTGCTGCTGTGGTGAGCTTGCGCACTCGTATTGACGAGCTGTGGTGAGTTCATTTTGTTTACGATCGGCACAGAGAGAGAGAGAGAGAGAGCACGCGGCGTATGCGCAATTTTTTTTACAAGAGTCTTTTTCGTATTTATCAATGAATTTGTGTTCTGATTGTTATTGTTTGCGTTGTGCTTTTGTTATTTGTGGCTCCTCATTCAGCGCCGCACTGCAGTTGCACAATTGAATAAACAAACAAAGGCGAAAAGAAATCAAAATTACTGAAAACGCACTGTGAAGTTTCGAACAACAACTCGCCGCGCAATTTGTCGATTTATTTGAATTGAATGAACTGCATGATGCCTTGGGACGTGCCCCTGTCTCGCTGTCAGTGGCGTCTTCACTGTGTCCCTCCGACCGTCTGTCCGCCTGACCCACTTTGTGTGGCAGCCAGTGAAGGCGACAGCAAAACGCAGCCAACACCTTTTCTGTTATTTCTCTTAATTTATTGTTGCTTTTTGACTTTTTTGTGAGTTCTCTGAGCTCTTTAGTTTTTATTGTTTTGATTGCCGTCGTTGTCGGTTTGAACTTGAGCTTTACGTGGTCGGCTTCAATTTGGACGCGACACGGAGACGGAGACGGAGACGAAGACGGAGGCGAAGATGAAAACGGAGACTGTGTCTCAGATTCTGGCACTGAGAAATCGCGATTTTGCGTTGCTCAATTTTCGTGACTTGCGTAGGAGTTGCCATAATAGTCCATATGCCATTTAATGCCGTGTTTAATCTGTAATATATACACATATAGAGGAAGAGGTGGAATGAGCGAGAGAGACTGAGAGAGAGCGATACATAATGACATTTTAATTTAAATCTTAAAAACGTAAATGAATCTTATTGTTATTGTTATGTCTGTGTGGAAAAGTGCGTCGACTGCTCAGACAGAAACGACGCCGCTGACCTTGAAAGTTCTAGAAAAAAGAATTGCGAGGAGCTCATAAGAAGAAGAGTCTGCAGCTTTGAAGACAGCTCTTCAAACGCATGAGCTTTAAGCTCAAGCTTAAGGCGATAAATGCTTGAGGTCTGTGCTTTAATAATTATTGTTGGGTTTTTTGAAATAAATTGAGCAAATCAGACAGCTTTAATAAATCTGTTATTCCAATTTAAATGAATAGGCTTTAAACAGCAAATAAAAAATAAAAAAAGCTGTCAATTAAGTAGAGCTTATTAAAATACGGCAAATTAAACATTTACATGGTTGCAACTAATTTGAAGCTTAAGCTCCTCGCGAACCAGTTTAAAACTAATTAAAAGCACATTTTGCCACAATTTCAGGCAAATATCTAGCAAACTATATATATTTTTTTGAGATGTCATTTAGTGTAATTCAATTCGATTCGCGCTTGTCAATCTTGGGTGCAGTTGTTGCATTTTGTAGTTGTGTATTCAAATCAATTGCTGCCAGCTGACAACTAATTAGCAACGATGTCAGCTGGCTGCACCGATTGAATGTCAAACGATTGCCACAGATGATGGATAGTGTCAGGTTCAATTGTCAACTGTGACAGCGACATGGCCTGTTGGCCTGCTAGACAACACACCACAACACACACAGCAAATTTTTTATAATGAGTTTGCGATTCTCTTCAAGCAGGCAACACAACAAATTTGCATGCGAATTTGTGAAAAGCCGTCGGCCTTTGGCGGCACATGCTTGCTTACACATGCCTTACAGAGAGTCAAGAGTCTTAGCTGAATCTGAATTTCTGGCATAGTTGCACACGGATTTACAATAAATTGCAATTATGCAAATGAAGCGAGCAGCGAGAAACGCGAGAACTCTGAGAACTCTGAGAACCGGTACATTTATTTAAATCATTAGCAAGAAACTAAAAAAAAAAACAAAAAAGAGAAGAAAAAAACCAAATAAAAATGCTAACATTAATCACTGATATTACTTGGGCACAATTTAGCAATTATGGATATATTGACGGGGCGTGTCAATTTGGCCATTTGATAAATGATTAAGCATATCCATTCAATTCATTTCGTTTCGTTTCGATCTGCCATTTGTCAGTCAGTCCTAATTCTTGCTGTGGGTCAAGTTCAGGTTTAAGTTCGTTAGTCAAATTAACATAATCTAATCTGTTACACTTCATATATAAATCTTGTTAGTTGGCGCTTTGAGTAATGTCTGATTTTGACTACTTTTTAACTACTCAGTTTAGGATAGCTTGCGAAATTCAACCAGTTTTTTTTTTAAGTCATGGCAACTGAACGCTTGAAGATTCGAACTCTTCCCTCGTTCATAGAGCTGACAGCAGCAGATCAGGCACTATGCCTGGAAAGCTATCGAGCGGAACAGCTCGATGATAAGAATCTAGAGAATAAATACATGAAGCGTACCGCTCAGCTAAGGAAACGAGCTAGCCCCGATTCGATAGATAACGAATGCTTTCTCTGCTTTGATGTCTACCCGATGAATTTCAAATACAGCACAATACTCTTCTGCCTCTGCGGCATCACACATCATGCGTTCCACGTGCTATATGTGAATGTCATTGAGGATACCCGGCTTGAGAGTCTCAGTCAGTTCGTATGCGATCTGTTGGCCAATATGATCACCACTGAGATGCCAAAGCTGAAGGAATTCTCGCTGAAGTTTATACTGTGCCGCAATAATCCGCTCAACAATACGGTTCTAAATCAGTTTGCCGAATCGACGACGACGTCCAAACTGTTCAATACGTTTCCCTTCATTCTTGATACAAATGTGTTCCGACAATCGCATCCGCATGATCCTTACGTCCAGTTGGCATGGATCGAGATTATGCTGGGCAATATTCAACAGAATACGGTTGGGGAGATATTCCAAAAGCATCGCGAAGCGGCCAGAATCAAAAACAATGCAGAACTAAAACAGTTTGTTGACGATTTCTGTGGCTTAGCCAGAGACCTGCTGGACTCGAGATTTTCGGTAAATCTCCGTCTCTGCACCATGGACAGAATGGACTACTTTGAGCACATAATAAGCGCCCACATGAAGGCCCACAAGGAGACCAACTTATCGCGCTCATTTCTTTTTGACTTAATCAGAGCCCTAATACACATTTATGGCCACTGAGCAATAATTGGTTCTCTCCAAAATTGGCTAGAAATACGAAATTGTGAGTGTGACAAATACAATTCAATTATTCCCATCAGCACTGCTCCCGAAATGTGAATATTTGCTCACTGTGCGCTTCCCTTTTGCTTGTATAACACTTTGGACCCAGTGGTCGTAGCAGTCAGGATGGCCGAGTGGTCTAAGGCGCTGCGTTCAGGTCGCAGTCTACTCTGTAGGCGTGGGTTCGAATCCCACTTCTGACAAGACTTTTTGCAGTTTTTTTTTACATATTTCTTTTTATGAGCATATTTATTTTGTTCGCTTGGTTTTATGTGCAAAGTTTTCGCAATTAATGTAGCTAAAGATTTAATTTATATACAACAAGTTGAATAACCTGCAGCCCATAAGAGAAATCAAAGCACTTCACAGCCGCAATAAAAACAACACAAATCTTATCTTTGTCGTTTATACTAGAAAAGTTTTCATGGACAACGCATTAAAATGCATTAGATGTGCTGTGAAGGGCTTTATAATACTTATAGATAGCTCTAAAAAAAAGTAACACTTCGCGCCACATGTGGTTATGATTTCATATATATACATATATATCTATATATATACATTTATATTTGTGCACATCCGCGGTACGTGTGAACTATGTAAGTTTTGCTATTACCTGTTGCCATATTTATCGCTTGCATTTAGGCTGTTTAGATAAAATAGCATTAAATGGTTACAGATAAAAACAGCTCAGACCTTGCCGTGATTTCAATTCTGTTGACGCAATTGCTTTTGCGAAATCGAACTCAGCAAAATAATATAATATAATAATAACAGAACTGACCCAAACAAAATGGCAATGAGCCCGTGCCCTGGAATTAAGACCCAACTGTGTCAACTGGCAACGCTTTGTTTATAAACAAATGCGCCAAAGTAAATTGCAATGCATTTTATTGAAACACTAATAATAATGGTGTCAGTTTCAGATTTCCCATTTGTCATAACACATTACAACAAACCATTTCCACACCTTTGTCGGTGCGATCTTTGACATGCGATATTCGCTAAAATTCACATTTTCATGAATTCCGCGTGTGATTGAAGAATTGCGTGCTGAAATCGAGTTTGTGACCCACTTCAACGATTATAAATTAATTATCAAGAGCGAGAGAAAAAGAGAGGCTTGAGGCTGACTTCTCTCCCCCTCTCCCTCTCTCTCTCGCTCTCTCTTTCTCCCTCTCTCTCTCTCTCTCTCTGGGGAAAACTGATAACAACATTTGAAATGAAATTTGTTTACAAACAGATTTGCGATTGGGGCAAGATTTTTGCGTTATGTCAAAACATTTCATGCCATTTGGTTGGTTTTTTCCCTTCAGATAAACAAACAATTAGCTCGAAATGCGCATGCATATTATGACGGAAAATACTTTTAACAACTACTACTACATATGTGTGTATATATACATTAATATTCATGTACAACAACTATAAATAGCATTTAGAAAATACTTGTTGTCGGCAAGTCAAGTCAAAGCGTATCTTTTAAAGACTTTCTGAACAATGCTCGTCCATTCTTCAGTGACAACTACAACTGCATTGATTGTGGCAGAAGCGTTTAGGCGGAACTGAAACTGAAAGCGTTCCAATTTTAATTTATGCAAAAGTGACAAAAGTGAACAAAAAATACATAATACATACAGCTAAATGAACACCGGGCATAATGAACTTTTCAGCCATAAATCAAGTGAAAATGTCGCCAAGTGTCGAGAAACTCATTAAAATATCTCTGCCAAGATAAAAAGCCAAACAAAATATCCCACGGCGACTGTCTATATCATAAATAAGATACACGTATATATTTGTAAAAAAAAAAACAAGCAACAACAAAAGCGCCGGTCTTTAATGAGAGAGTATTGTGAGAGCCTCAAGTCTGGAAATGACACGCCTCCAAACCACAATATTAGCGCCCAGATTTGGGTTGCTCTGTGTGTTTTTTAAAGAATGCGGGTTAACCTCATTTTCAACTGAACTGAATATTTTGGAAACTCTTTTTTTTTGTTCAGGGCGAAATGGCAAGCGTTTTTTTTACAAGTAAATCGGTATATGCTCTTCAGTGACTAATCTCTCGCTCGGTTTGTGCTTGTTATTTCTTTTATTAGTTTTCTTTTTATTTACTGGACTTAATACTATTGTCTCCGGGCCAAGCCCACAACAACAGCAGCGATAAGATTTATCTTTAGGGAAGTACAACGTTGTCGGCGTTTGTTCACAAAACAGCAGATCGAATCAGTTCAAATTGCATTCATTATGCCATAAAATTGCTCTTGAATTATAAATTTAATAGAGTTGCGAGGGCTGAGGGCAATGCAAATTAGTTAACTGCCCATTAGTTGTGTCATAATGCCATAATATGTTAACCAATTAACATTTAGCAGATTGCTTCACAGGCATAAAGTATGGGAAATTTAATAAGAATTTGAAATCAACAACAGTTTATACACAGCTATTTATAGCACAGCACAGTTAACAGTGCACACTAACAGCGCTTCAGCAAGCTGTTGTAGATGAGCGCTGGCGCACCTCATGCCAACAGTCAGGATGGCCGAGTGGTCTAAGGCGCTGCGTTCAGGTCGCAGTCTACTCTGTAGGCGTGGGTTCGAATCCCACTTCTGACAAAGTTTTTTTGTTTATTCTTCTAATTGTTGATATAAATTTTCAATGTTTTTACTTCTTGATTTAATTTTTTTACATTAACCTATAGTCATAGTTGGAAATATGTATTATTTGTTTAAAACATATTCCTATGGCCAACACATGTTTTGTGTGGTTGGATTTCTTTGCCATTTTGGTTTGTATCGTATTGTGTGGGTGTCATCTGCTGGGCTGATGGAAAACAGCACCCACCGCCAGAAATATTCATCGTTTTACTTTACCAATCAACGCACACAGTTGTTTTCTAATTAAACTTTGCATTGCAAAATAATCAGGAACCATTAAGACCAGCCAAAAACCAATTTGATAACTTACGATCTGTTTTTCGCAGTTGTGTTTAACAAATTAATTACGTGCTTTATTTATGAACTAAACATAAATATGCATGTTTTTGTTCAATTTATCTGTACTTCGAATCTCTGCCCTTATTCCCGCAATTGACTTTTGTGTTTGATTTTTATGCGCATCGGATTGATGTGCAATTAAACAAAAGCCAGACAGATTCGACATGCATATAATGTAAACAAAGTCTACTTTGTTTTCTTTGTGTTTGCGAGCTTATGAATATTTGTGGCCATGTGAATATATTTGGCTTCTAAATTCAAATTGAATGTGCAACTTACAGAAAACGCAACTCATGCGCCTTCCCATAATCATCATCAGCAGGAGGGGCAGCCAGCCAGCCAGCCAGCACCCAGCCTCCGTCAGAATCTCGTGCGGCAGATAAGCAACGGAAGCTGCGGTTTTGCTGGAGATGATTTGGATGATGCTGTAGATGTGGATGTGAATGCGAATATGGATATGAATATAGATTTTGAAGAATCTCGGGATGCTGACGGCTGTTTGCTGTCGGCCGTTGAAGTCTCAAATTCCTGTAAGTCAATCAACCCGACAGCTTCTCTTGTTGCTGTTTTGTTTTCTTTTTGTTGGTTTTGTTTTATTTTACTGCGTGTTTTTAGCGTTTTTGCTACTTTGACCAAGGCGCACAAAACGACGGACCGACGACTTTTCCGTGCCGGATCGTTCATATATTTTGGCGCTGGCGCTTTTATATTTATAGACACATGGAGGAACGCACATAAAATTTCAACGTAAGATTTCGTAATTGCATAGCAGGAAAAATGAGAAATGCTCTCCACCTAAAAGATTTGACAAACAACAAATGAGTCCAACCACTTGACAGACTATTGGAAAATGATTTATTATTGTATTTGGGTTTACTTTAAGAGTTTCAACGATAAGACACACGTAGAAACTAACTATATACGTGCAGAGACTCGACGCGCGCGGCTGTAGTTTTCCGTTGGAGCAGTTGCCGAACCGACGCGTTGCGCTTTGTGCTGTTGACTGACTGCAGCGGCAGCAATCAACAAGCAAGCAGCCAGCTAGCAACCTCAAAGTAAGCCGATCGCACAACGTAATAAAGTGTGGGTTGTGCAGCGCAGCTGCTGCGCTCTCTCGCATGACGCCAGCTGCTCTGAGTGTGAGTAACGACACGTGTGACGTCACGCTCTGCGTCTTAGCATAACCTTCTAAGCAAAATACCACGAAACGATCAGCAAGAGAGCACGGCGACAAGAGACTGAGCCAGAGCGGAACAAGAGAGAGAGAGAGAGGGAAAGAGAGAAAGAGAGCGCGCGCGTTTGCAAGCAACCAGCATTTGCGTGTAGTGTGGTGCGCCATAAAGTTTTGTTTTTATTTCATGTCTTTTTATTTGTCTTGGCTTCTTCACTTCGCACACTGACACGCCACAGGCAGCGTCAAGCCCACAAATGCGTGGGCAGCTCGCACACAAACACAGACACACACAAACACAAACACACACACACAACAGAGTGCTCATATGTCAAAGCTTTGGCTGCACGTGCAACGTCAACGCTCATGAGCCAAACCAAAAAGCAAAACAAAAATGTCAAGAGAAGGAAAAATACAAAATTGCATGGCTAATTAAATTTCTATTAAGCAAGCGGTAAAAACAAGCATTTAAAAATGTTTTCAAATTGATTTCGGCTCGCTTTCTTTGTGCCTGAGAGCTGTCGCTTAAGCATTACGTATACGCCCCCATAATCGCTTATATACAAACACTTTATTTGTATGTCTGTGTTTGTTGTGGCTATAAAAAAGCACAGAACAGACAAACTTCTAAAACGCTAGGCGGCATAAAAAACAATGAAACCTGTTAATTAACTTTGTACAAATTTGGCATAAAATGTCGCGACTGCGCACTAAGAAAAAAACACTAAAATATATATATATGTATACAGATTTCGAGATATTGATTAATGCTCCAAGTGGTCAAAGTGTGACTCCATTGTCTGGCGGCATCAGCTACTTTTGGATGATTTGAACTTGAAAGAGTCTGTTGACTTCTTCCTTTGTTGTTGCGGGTGGCTTCGGAGATAACGCTCAAGGCATACATTTTTATGCATAAATCTTTGGGATATTCAGCGAATTAAGATAAGATTATATTCAAACAAAATATTTCCACAAATTTAGCAGCAAACAAAAATGAATTAAGAATGTTTGCTTATGTGTTTCGAATACTCAGTTTTGTATCGTTCTAGAGATCACGATCAAAATGCTCTGATTTTTAAAAATAGTTCTAGTCTTAAGAAACTGATGGCAATGGAAAGTTTTGAACAGTCTCTAAAAGCTGTTTTTGAGCGTATGTTTCGAAATACAAATGCAGAATTGAACTAGTGATTGAATCATGATCAAAAGGGACTGGTTTTAGAAAATCGGTTTAGGTCTGTCGAGGTTATGGTTATGCCAAATTTGGGCAAATTGTCAACACTTTTTTTATGGTACAGAATACTTTTATGAATTTTTTCAGCTCATTAATATTATGACAAAGTATGCCAAGTCAGATAGATATATTATATTTCATTTAGAGGAAGACTTGCTACTTAAAAGTACCAAAATAGTCTCTAATAAAAATATATATTCAGTTTATAAAAAAGGGCAGCTGGTCAAACTATCAGATAACTATAAAATATCAGATACAAATGTTGGCCCCATGTTTCAGTCTTTCTAATGTCTTCTTTTACTTAAGTTGGTTATTAACGTCAATATCATAACTATTTATCTGCTGCAGTTATTGTTATGGTTTTTATTGTTGTTGTTTTTGTACTTGTTGACCCACTTAACTGGGCCATTGTAATGCTAATTTACAAGCTGCACCCACTGCAGCAGCAGCAGCAGCAACAGTTGTTGGATGTGGAGCAGAGTGCAGTTATTGCCACTGCCACTGCCACTGCCGCTCCCCGGTGCGCTCCATATATTTATGTGTATGTTTTTATTTATATTTATACATATTGTGTCAAGCTGACAGTAGCACAAATTTTGATTGATGACTTTTGATTGACATTCGGGCAATTTGCTAATTTTATTTCAACTGCTTTTGAGTTTTATTAGACAAATACGTGCCGAGCACTACAAAAAAAACGACATGCATAGGAAATAGGTCAGTCTGTCTAAGAACTTTGTGTGGTATCATTAATCACAATGAATTTATGTTGGGGCTCAAGTACGCATTTGTTGAGGTATGTATACATATCTATGTACATACATATGTATGATGGGCTATATGTGTCTGCAAAAGTAAACATGTGAATTAATGGATAAATAACTCGCACAGTACTTGTTCGTATGCATTGAATTTATGCCGGCCGAAAGCGTAAACTTTAATTAACTTTAGCTGTCAGGTCAGCCAACTGATTAACATATATAAATGCCTATCAAATGTCTACAATCAAGCTATAAAAATGAAAATATCACTCGAGGCCTGTTCAAAGTCAAAGTGGAGCAGCAACAGCAACTGCAGCAGCGGCTAATTGAAATGCATTGAAAGTGCGTGCGACCGGTACTAGCAACAAGTGGTTGCAACAACAGCAACAGCAACAACAACAACAACGTGGACGTTAAGCGTGAATTGCAGCTGCTGCGTGTGAAATGTCAACAGCATTGGCCAGGGAGCAATTTGGCCGCTGGCCAGTTGACATTTGTCAGTGGCAAACTTATTATTCGACTATAATTTAATTATTTTGCATAGCTCATTGAAAATGCACGTTAAACTTTAACAACAACAACTGCTCTGGCAGCAGCCAGTGGGTGGGCAGCGCCTTTTTATATATGCCCGTATTTTTTATTGGCTGCTGCCACTTGTTGCATAATAAATGCAAATAAATATAAAAAGTGGCACTTGCAAATCGGCGAATTTACTTAATTTGATATATGTATTTGACCTCATTTCAGGCTAAAGTTACTTTTTATTCGTATTATCATTCCAATCGTTGCATTTTTCATGTTCGTATTATAAATGTACAATTTTAAGTCGTGTTAGTGTTTTGTTGTTATGTTTTAATCTTATTTATTATTATGTTTCGTTGTTTTTTTTTTAAATTTGTATGTTGTCAGTCAGTACACACCTTTCCATGACGAGACGAGTGCAATTTGTCTTTGCCTCTGGGCGCCACATGCAATTTTTCATTCGGCGCGTAGGCAGCCCAAGTTCAAAAGAGTTAAGTGTGATTGGCAAACATATGTAAGACATGGCGTATACTTACCGTATCAGCTAAAAATAAAAAGGGGAGCTGGCAACACTATTTTTGTGTTTTGCTTTTATTCTGTTATTCACCATATTCGATTCGATTGGGTTGCCATCGATTGCCGTTGGTTTTTTAACATGTTCGGGGGAACAGTCAGGATGGCCGAGTGGTCTAAGGCGCTGCGTTCAGGTCGCAGTCTACTCTGTAGGCGTGGGTTCGAATCCCACTTCTGACAACACTATATTTTTTGGTTTTTTTAAGTTTTCCCCGCTTTTACAATTGAAAGTGTTATCATATTTCAAAGCAAATATCCCCATTTTCAATTTAACAATAAAAATACGCCGACGTTATTATTTTTGTCTATAAAAACAACAATTGGAAATCATTTGAAGATAATCAAATTCGTGTTTAACTTCTATTTCACTTTCTGCTGATCCCCTGAACTCTTCACAAGGGGCATCACATCACTTGTTCGCCTCCGCAATTTGCCTCAATTGCTCTTGTAAGTGTGCAGCGGTGGGCGCCATTAAAAATTACAAGTAAATCAATTTATGTGCGCTTAATTGTCAATATTCTAATCACATATAATCTACAGCTGGCAAGCGTTTGCCTTCAGGCTAACAGTTAAGACCACACACAGCTCACTGATGATTACTATATCTGTAGTCTGGCATCGCCGAGACGCCGTCAATGGCAAACACTTTCAAGTCGACAACTAATCATTCATTCAATCAAAATAGAGAATCGGTCAGTCGACCGTTTTCAAATTCAACTGTGAAGGCAAATGCTTAGCAGACTAGTTTCTTGCAATTGTTCTTGAGGATATAATCGGTTGGACATTGATGCGGTTATAAAAACTTACAGCCCTATTTTTCATTATGATCGTAAAATGCAATTAGTCGCTTTGAACTAACAATTAGTCAGTTCAAATTCCAGCTTGTTTTTTTTTTAATAGCACAAATTTACAAAGATATTATATTCGTATAAAATGGGAATCTGTAATGAAAAAAAACCAACTATAAAAATTGTTTAACTGCCGCAAGGAGGGACACATTGAGGCTGGTTATAAGCTGGCAGTTAAACAATTGACAGGCGGCTGCTTAGCAAACAAAAAAAAAATAAGAATAAATAAAATAAAAAGAACTGTCTACACAATTTAAATTGACATCTTAGCAGAAAAAATATGAATGATGTGACAAGGCGACGCTTATCTGCAGTTTTTCTAAGAGTTTTTTTTTTCTATAAATGTATACATTTAAGTTTGACTGAGTAACTATTGAAATTTATTGCATCCACAAGTTGGCAATTGATTGGCTTTTAAAAAGCGAATAAAACGTGCTCCCAGCAAATTATTATTAATGATCAAAAAATTTTTTAGCACGCACCACGCTCCCCGCCCGCAAAGTTGAATTTAACACCTGCGGCTTCCAAATGTAATTGAATTGCATTGATTATGAAAAGCTTTTAACACATTTAATTAAATCTATGAATGTAAAATACTGGCAAATTTGCATTCCGAATGGTCACTATAATTTATGATACGCAATTAAGATAAGAAATATTATTTGTCAAAATGTATGTTCAAGAAGTTATTGGTTAATCATTAAATAAATAAATGATACGAAACACATAAATGCCTACACAAACATACTGTCGCTAAAAGCTCAGTGCGCCTTGTTTTCATAGCAAATAGCTTTTGTATAACACAAAATTGGATCTCGTTTACTATCGCACTATCATATTGTAAACATACAGGCCAAAAATATAAAACTCGCAGTGCTCAAAGAAATTTTCATGTGAACCGAGAGAGAGAAAGCACATGCGCGCTCCGAAACCGAGCTTAAAAAAACATCAGTCCATGAGCTTTCAAAGAGAAACGAAAGCGTCAGCCCGACAGCTTTTCAGTACGTTTTACATTCCACTTAAAATGACGCAGGCGAAACTTTTGGCAGTCTTCGAGATACCGTGACGTAGCTTAGACAGAACGTAAATCAACCCAAAAACCAAGTGAAACTGCAAACAAACAACTAAATCAGTAACGAATGCAGCTGCACAACATCAATTCAACTGAACGCCTTACGTTATTAACGCAATGAAAAAAGCTATTTGAGTACATGGAGCGAACAGGCCAAAAAGAGCACTGATAATCGTGCCAGGCAAAAGCATGCTTCACTAACAACGTGTTGTGGCTGTGGCTTGCAGGAAGGTTATTCAACTCGCATCTGTCTGAAGATCACAAAGCAAGTATGTGTCATAAGCGACTAAATAGTTTCTGATCTATAGTTATGTATGTTAGTGATAGTGAAAACAAAAGAGCAGTCAACAAGTGTCGCAGTCTTTTACTGACTTTTGCAACCTCAGCAACAATTGAGGAAGGCAAGCAGCGGACAAGCGAGGGCATAAGCGTTGTTCTAATCGAGCTTTTCACATGGCTGTGCAGTGGCACCCAAAAGCTTTTACTCATTTCAAAAAAAAAGAGAAAAAAAAATAAGAAACTGCATGCGACGGCTGTCGAAAGCTGTGCAGAGAGCGCTAAAGCTTTTAACTTTTATTTCGCTGCGTGTGTGTATGTGTGTGTCCGTGTTTTTGTCTTTATTCCGCTCCGCCTTGGACTCGGACTCGAGTAATATTATTATGCTCCAGCTACGTAGATAAGTAAATAAATAGCCCACACTGTGTAAATATATTAATATTCATTTATTTGCACGTTGAATTTTCTTTTTAGAATGAGCAACTTACGCATTTGCAAGGCCATGTCGCTGCATCCCTGCGCCAATCTGTGGCAACCTGAGCCTGCAACAGCCGACGAAGTAGGACATATACCGTTCAACTCGAGGATATGTCTAATGGGCTGCAATGCGACGCCAGCGGAACTACGTCGATTCCCAGTACACGATATTAATCGGTTAGTGTCCACACGCCCAATTTGAATTCATTTAAAATTGCGTTTGTCGATCTACATTTAAAACCAGTTTATGGATATATCCAGCCCTGCAATGAAGCTTGTTGCGCATCACAAATTCTCTTGCGCATACATATGTATGTATGTATGTACATGTATACATGCATGCATGTATATATGTATGTATGTGTGTACATATGTCAGGCGTGCACACAAATAATATGCCAGACAAAAAAACTTGCCTATTTGAGAATGAGCTTTTGCTTTGACGCGTCTCCTCTGCCCCAAGCCAAAGGTTATTGAACTTTCGGCGCCCGCATCAACTTCATAGAAAAATTTCAATGCCATGGCAAAAAAAAACAAGTACAAGAAGCTATACATACATTTGTATTGCAATTATGCACATTGTGGGTGTGAGGGAAACAGCGACAGCAGCATAAGAAGCTGCGTCCCACACATACACACACGCACACACAGGCATTGGTTTATTTTTAACTCTCTTGCTCTCTCTGTTAATGCATTTGCAGCGCGCTCTGTTGGCCGTGAAGTTTGTGCTGCAAAACAGTTCTGTGCAGTTCTGAAATTGTTGTCCATCAGCATGGAGTTTAGAGTGGACATTAAATGTGTAACATGAACAAATTGGGAAGCATCAAAAAGTGTGAAAATATTAAACTTATATTCACTAAATTTGCTACAATTACTTAGGTAAATAATCTTAAATCGAGTAATAAATTTGTATAAGGTCCCCCATAAATTGGTTCAGTCGCTGCGCTATTCATAAAGCAAGTAAACAGCAAATACTCTCTTGTTATTGTTGTGTTATGGGCCGCCGGTTAATGGGATGTTGTATGAGAGAGGAGGGGGGTTTAAGTAGAAGCAGCAGTTCAACGCCGGCGTAACAAACTTCCGCTCCAAGAGAGAGCGAGAACACCGAGCGAAAGCACCACACATGCACACAAATGTATGAGCCACAGACAGAGAGAGAGAGAGAGAGAGAGTATGTGAGTGCATTTGCAGTGAGCATAAAAGTGCTTTTTGCAGCTGAAATTTTTTGGCGGCCATGGTATGAACTTTTCATTAGCTTGTTCAAACTTCGTGTGAGAGAGCGAGAGATGAGAACTAATTTTAAAGCTGCACAGGAAAAGCACTGCCAAAAGAATAAAACTTCAATGCAATTTGTGACAGTAAACAAAGAACTTCCGAGGCGATCGCAACGTTGAGCAGCGCTTAACAGTTGTGTTTTTGGATAAATACCATTAAAAAGAAGTTTGTCAACATAGAACTGTTATTTATTAGTAAAGCGAGTAGAGTTTCTAGTGTGTTGCGAAAGCTTTCTCTTCAAGAACTTTTTTGCAGTTGTTAAACAAATTACGACAAAAGCTGAGCTTGCATTGCCAGAGAGAATCGTGCTCACACACACACACAAATACATCTATATATATATATATGTATACGATAGATGTGCATGTAAATGAAACAATTGTAATTCCTGCAGCTGCAACCATTGGCTACGCCATTTCGCTGTGAGCGACCAACTTGTGGAGGCACTTGGCGGCCTAAAAAAACTACGCATCTGCTTCAGGCATTTTAGCCAGCGCAAGGAAATGGCCAAGACGCGCATGAAGACGACGCCGATGCGTGCATCCAAGCCAAATAAAATAACAACAGGCGAAGCAATTGCAACATCTGCAACAACAGCAGCACCAACAACAACATCATCAACAACAGCAATTGATACAATAGCATCTGCTAATCCATTGGCAGACAGCACAACCATTGAGCTGGTCGATGTGAGTAAAGTCTTACATCGAATACAAGAACCCATTGAAATAACCTGAAACTTTTGATCTTTAGTGTTCCACTGGGAAGGCTCAGAAGCAGTCACCGATGGAGAAGTCGGTGACGACCATAACACCTGTGCCACAACGTTCCCACTCCACGTGCTCGTCCTCGTCCGTCTCCAGCGATGTGCAATCGATTGGCTCCGACTACGAGGCCAACTTGCCGCTTAACATTGTGCTCAATACACAAGCCGTGGGCCGCAAGGGCAAGGCAACCACCAATGGGTTGGCCAAGAAACGGAAATTGTATTTGATAACTGAAAAGTCGGATGAGAAGAATGGCAACAGTGGGCAGCCCAATGGCCAGAAGCGTAAGATGTTTGTATTGGTGGAGCAGGAGAAGGATTCATCTGGCAAGAAACTAATGATTGTCACGGACAAACAGCAGTCGACTCTCACCCAGCACTTGGAGAAATACCTACCCGAGATACTCAGCTGCATACAGGGCAAGGAGCAGGCGCAGGTGCAGGCGCAGGCGCAGGCGCAGGTGCAGGCACAGGCACAGACACAGGCGATAGTGAAGCAACCGACGATCAAGGCGCAACAGCAGCCGGCCAAACAGGAGCCGCTGTCAACGAAGCCAATTCCAATTCCAAGCATAGCCCACAAGCCGCACATAACGTTGCCGCCCAAGAAAAATCCGACAAACTTTGTCAAATTGGAAGAATCTGCGGTCATTACGCCACCACCCACCAGTGTTTCCTCATTGCCCGTGGTGCAGCCCGTGAAGGAGTCGACGCCGCCGCCGCCGCCGCTGCTCGAAACTGAGACCAGTATCAATTTATCGCCCGATTTTCGGTTTCTCATGAAGATATTACCCAAGTTGGAGCATATACCTGAACCGCACAAGCAACATGTCAAGCGTTCCATACAGATCTTTATCGAGAAGAGCTTCAGCCATTATGGCAAAAAAGATTAGCACAACACAAACAACAAAAGTTCACTTATCATTTTAGTGTGTACTACTTGCTCATAAGTTCTTCCCTTGCGGATTATTATTAACATTTTTATTTGTCTAAGACTGATTCAAAGCGTAGAATACGTAAATACGTACAACAAATATGTATTTTTAATGCACCGCAGCGCAACTGCAGAGCTGCAGTGTAGATTCTAGATGTAAGATGCAAATTTTATGGAACCCGATCAAAGATCGACCCAAAGATGGGTATACTTTTTAATTTGTAGCCATAAAAGAAAACTTGAATTCTGAATTAGATATATTTGAGAGCTCTTTAGCCACGAACTGAATGACAAACGTTATGTCTTATAAATCATAAAACAGATGCTGCTCAATCTATTTACTTCAGGGATTTTCAGAATTATCATTGGAGTGCAGAGTGCAACTGTAACGCACAATATCCTTTGGATATGTTACAGCTATTTTTATGAAAACGACGTTCGTTTTCCTAAAGGATATGGGAATGACACATATTACTCTACACTCTACTGGGTCAGGTAGAATGCCTATCGAGTGGCATTCAAGGATTTTCAGGATTCGACAAAAATATTTGGCAAAATATTACACAAAGGTGTGGGTCAGAAAAATATGGAAAAAACAGAAAATTGGTTGTCAGTTGGCCATTTCGAAGACTACCTGCGCGTCCTTTGGGCCATAATGGACATTACTTGGCCTGGCGATTTGAGCAAAAAGCAATAAAAGTCCTTTAAGCGGCTGAAATAAAAGGAAATTTACTTAAACACAAAGTTGGTCATATCTCGGCTCTATACTGATGGATAATTGCGAGTCCTGTATCAAACAGTTTGTTTTGACCAGCGTTGCAGGCTGGCCAACTTGTAGTTTTCTCCCTTGTAGCTTTCCCCCTTAACGAGTGGAAATTCTACAAGTGTTTGGGTGCTAAGATGACCGCATTGTGGGTCGGTGCGATTCCAACTCATTCCATTTAAAGTCTGATAAAATGTGGTTGAGCTATATGTTTTTCCAGAAGCGGTAAGTGTCCTGTTCTTATGGGATTGAAATATGCTTAAAAGATGTTGATTTGCTGAGACTCGCTGTGTGCTGGATGGGTTTAATTGTCATGCCCAGAAGTATGCTTTAAAATTGTAGATTTTCTGTAACATCGCTAACGTGCGCACTGCTTGAAATGCAAGCAGTGTACAGAATTACTAATATGTTGGACTGCTGTTATTGGTCTGTTATCATGTACATAGCGGAAATGAGCGCTATTTTAGGGTGACCACATGATCAAATAAGCAGTGCAAAGCAGTATTTGAAATCCGGTTTTCAACTGTCAGCAGAAATAAGAAAAACATTTCAATTTGGTTTCGTATCTTTTGTTTTTTTGTTTTGCATTGTAATTCCAAAGAACTTTATTTAGTTTGAAAGCATTTCTTACTGTTTTTCATTTTTTTCAGTTTTACGTTATAATAATGTTAGTAAGTCTAATGTTTTGGTTTATGTTTGTTTTCTTTTGTTTTGTTTGTCTTTTAGTTAATACAATGGGTTAGTGTGTATTATGGTATTATGTTAAGTATGTAATTTTTGGAAAAGTGTTTAATTTTTATTATAATTTACAAGTTGTGGCTGCGAGCGTCACGCTGAACGTCGCTTAACTATACGAAAAACGTATGCATCAATTTGGTGAGTGTATATTTTAATGGTTACGCTTTATACCTGTGGATAGTTTTTTTTTTTTAGATTTTATAATTACATATATACAGTTAAACAATAAATGTTTAATTTCATTTCATTCCAATTCGTTTGGTTTTCTTCTTCCTTTGATTAACCAACAGTTTATAAAGGACCGTTTCTGTCGAGTGCAGCTTCTACTTAAGGGGATTTTCTTCATTTGTTTTCATTTTCGTTTTCGAAATGTGCCACATATTATTTTCACATATACACATACATATATATATATATATATATATATATATATATAGAGTTACGTTACAAATATATTCTTTTTACAACATTCATCGATATCTGTGTGTGGTAGTAATAATAATAATTAATAAGCACGCCTTCAAATAGGCTTGTATATATATTAAATATATGTGGTATTGTTAACTACTCGTACATTGTGTTGTGTCCTACATTTTTTATATTATTTATTTACTTTTCGTTTTTTTTTTTTAATTTTAGGAAGGAGAGTTTTCTATTTAAATATATATAATACGACGAATTGATTTATTAATCGAGCGTTATTCTTTACATGTTGCTATTTGATGGGTATGTGTGTTTTGGGGTATAAGAAAAATTACACACACCGGCTTACATATGACTCAATATCTACTATCATCAATGAGAAGCAATCACAAAGTTTTCTACATATACATATATGTAGACATATATACATGTATATATATTATATGCCATTATAAGTACAGAAGTACATACATCGATATTATTGCATGTATTTTCATTATTATAATTTATCCGCTTGATGTATTTACAAATTTCTAGCGGTGCACAAAGCGGCCTTTTTTGGTTTTTGTTTTTTCAATGTTCCACACTAGTTTTGAGACTAAGCAACTACGGTTGCATAATTAATAATCGGAAATGATTCTTGTGTGCAGGGTTCTAAGCGTGTTTTCTACTCACATTTACAGCAGTTAAGTTTGTTAATGCCTTGAATATCATATCATATATATATGTAGTTGTTGTTCCAGTATATGCATATATATTTATATACATATATATTTCTTTTGGGTTAAAAAAACTGTGTTACAATTTCTACAAACAGCCTTTTGTTAAACATGTTAAACGTACATTTATTTATGCATTTTGTAAGCAATATTTATGTTTTTCTTTCATCGAATTATGTTTTTTTTTATACATTTTATAATAATGTTTTTACATGTTTTTTATTTTCATTTCTTTATAACCTGAGCGCAATTTTTTCTTTTAAGAAAACTGTTTTTTGTTTTTGTTTTTTCAATGCTATCCAAAAATGTTTCGTATTTTAGTTTTTTTGGTTTTTTTTTGGCTTTCTGGCACAAATGTTCATAAATTTCGAGTTGTATCTATTACCAATTAAATATTTGTATATTAGTTATGAGAAATATTTAACAGCAGCCTCATGAACTGCTCAAAAATGCTCTATAATAGGTAATATGTTGCAAACTTATTTGTTATATTTCTTGTCCATCGAAATACATATACCAAAATGTTTGTTTACCTGTACTTGAATATCTGTTGTCGGGTGTTTTATGAGTTTACTTGTTTATTTGCAAATATTGTCCATACATACACATACATATATATATTAATATATAGAATATATCGTATATAGTGCTAATTTGTTGTTGTTGGTATATTCATGGGGGAAAAAATGCATATACGTATTTTATAGCTATAAATTCTAATTGCAAATGCATTGGGTTTTTTGCGGTTTACTCGACGGCCAGGCACAGGTGCCCCCTATGCTCGCTTGCGTTAGGGTGTGCCACAAAACTTGTCAAACAAATCAAAATCAAAATCTAAATCAAAAGTAAAAGTAAAAGAAAAGGTTGAATAAAACAAAAAGGTGGTTTCGGTTTTTATACAAACAGGTTTACACAATTTTTATTTCGCTCTGCATCCATTATGAAAACGTTACCACAAACGTAAACGTTAACTTGTATATTAGGTAATTTATACGTAGGTTCTACTGTATAATTAGCACATCTATATGTATATATATAAATATATATATATATATATATATATAAGTAGTACTGCTCCACAATTGGCTTAGGTCAAATACTAATGCAGTTTGTTTTGTCAGTTATCTGTTATTATTACTTAACTTAACTAACAATTAAACATATGCGTTTTTTTGTTGTTGTCGAACTTATTGAAACATAAGCGCCTAAAATGTATATAGACAAAGTAGTTCAACTCACAGATCCTTAAGAAACTCCATAATTACGTTTATATTCAGATTTGTAATGTTTTTGTGTTTGTTTTTGGGTATTGAAAGAAAGGTGTGCTAAAATGTACATGTTTCTCAACAATCAGACTCCGAATTGAATCTGATTTAATCTAATTTTATAGTTTTTATATTTGTTGATTGTTTAACTAAAGAAAACTAGTTACGGCTTAATAGTTAATTGGGTTATATAATATAATAAGTATTGGTGGGGTGTTAATGTTATGTACATGGTGCTTACACAAAGTCAAAATACAATAATTATGCTTGTAAAATGTGCTTAGCTTGCTAATGTATATGCTAATTTTGCATTGTATTCGTTTTTTATTTCAGTTGTATACTTTATAGTTACATGTTACAGTTAAAAATATAAACTAAATTTATATATTCAATGTGTGTGTGTGTGTGAGTGTCCTGTGTGTGTATCTATTTCAATGCATGTTAAGCTTTCGAATTCGAGTGTGTCTGTCTGTGTGTGTTGTCTGTGTGTGTGTAGTGTGGTGTGTGTGTGTGACCAAAGACTGTAGTCTATATTTAAGAAAAAAATGTTATTTATAAACAAAAGTAGCGGCTATGTTAAAAAATTAAAAAGAAATCGGCTACTAAAACGGGGCGGCTATCGATCGGCTCTTAGCCATATGCCTAAATAGCCCCCGTTAAGGTTTTCTCTGTTCTGTTTTAGCCAACGACTTCTTTTTGGCTTTTCATCATGTTTTTCGTTTTTTTGCTATGAGATCTCCGTGAAAGTTTGAATTCATATTTATTTTGTTTTTTTGTTTTGTTTTGTTTTTCTTTTTCGCTTTCCCTCTTTTCTTTTATATCATCTTTAAGCGTACGCTAAATTAGTTAATTCATATATATATATATAAGTATAGTATATATATCGATATATATATATATATATATAATTAAAAACTACATACATAAGAAAGCAGCACAGTTAGGAGTTGAAGAAATGGGGCATAGAAATAGGCTTCTTTGTAGTGAGCGATTTTGGTATGCAGAGCACAGCGCCTACAATTTCGAGAAATTACACGATCTGTCCAAAAGACTTAAAAATTACGAATACATATACACATAAATATATATATATATATATATAGATTAATGTATACATATACATATTTATATAGTTTGTTTGCTACACTTTTAATACATATATCAAGCATCGAAAATTGGCAAATTGCTCAAACGAGGCCTTTTTTTCAACTTCTTTCCGAAAATCGTTTGACTTTTATATTTATTTATTGCATATAGGCGCGCTTGTCAACCATCTCTTTTGTAGAAAAGAAAATGAGAAAACTCAGTCTTAAACATACATACATTAATTAATATAAGTATAGGGGCTAGAGATGCTAACAGATCTGTACGGATCTGGTTGTCCTTTAGCTATAGCATTTAGTTGGCATATGAGCATTTGTTGCTACTTAAAAAGAATACGAAACTATGATGAAAACTGTTTGGATGGGTTCATTTTGGGAGTGTGTTACAGAAGAAAATTAAACTAGATTACTCGTTAAACTAATTGAGAATGTATATAAAACTAACTTGAAATTGCAAGGCGTTCAAATATGGATTGTTAGACACAGACACACACACACACATTTACACACACACACACATATACACACACATAAACAAAGAGAGAAGTTTGAGTTGGGCTTAGTTGCCACCAGGAGTCTGTTGTACGATCTGTGGGGGTGTGCGTGTGTTGCGCTTGTGTTTTGGTGCTGCAACATTTTGAACGCCTTGGCACATTCACTGGGGGCAGTGTGTCGTCCACTTGTTGGTTTTGCTTTACCATTTGCAACTTATTTGCGGTATGCGAAATATATAGGTTAAGTCGTCTACATATGCTTGAAATGTGTGTATTGGAAACTAAACATTTGCTTGCCACATTACAATAAAAGCAAAGGCAAAACAAAATCATATTAATTATTATAATATTCATAATTGTCATTAACTAAGCATAAGTGTTAGTATTACAGTTAGTACAAAAAATTATATTGGTTAATTGCATAATTGTCGGCATTATGCAATTTAATCAGTCCACGGTTAAAATATTTTTGCGTTTGTTTTTTTATTTTTTAACTAATTTCGAAAAGTTTGCCAAAGGAATTCTATAGTTTATCGTAAATGTCTGATTCAAACCAAACAGACACAGACAGACAAACATATTAACAAACGCACATACATTTAATATATATATATATTTGTATATATATAGCTTGTTATATAGAACTGTGTGCGGCATTATTATTATTTTTTTTGCCATTTTATATATTTAGAAACCAGTTTCAAAATTGAAGCGCAAATATGTGAAATTAATTTTTATGTTAGTTTAGAAATATATAAATTGTTTAGTATTTATAGCAAACTACACATTTAGCTCTATAGTTTAATTTATACACAGAATAGAAAAAAAACAATTATTTTAATGCTGTGTGTAAGTGTGTGTGTGTGGGTGTGTGTGTGTGTGTGTGTGTGAGGTAAATTTGGTAAACAAATTTAGAGTTGCAAGTGTGTTTCTGATCAAATGTAATTTGTTGTTTTACTCCTTTTGTTTTGTGTTTTACTTATTTGCTTTATTTCTTACAATATTCGCTTGAGTTGCTTAGTTTTCGAGGGCGAATATGATGTCGTCTGGATGAGTTTTTGTTTGTGTTTGTTTTCTGTTTGTTAGTCTAATTGCTAATTAATTTACATCGATTTGAAGCACTTAACATAAAACATTTTGTAATTTGCTTATAAGACCAAACATTTTGTGTGTTTTTTTTGTTTTGTTTTGTTTGTGTGGTTTTCTTTAGTTTTTTTTTTTTATACCAATTTTGCCAAGCGCACAACAAACATATTTTTGTAGCTTTGTTGCTTCAATTAAACTTGTCTACGCTTTCAATTTACATAGCGTATTTTTGTTTTTTAGTTGTTCCTCTCTTTTTTGTGTTGTTTAATATTTCTACGTTGAATAACTTTGTTTCTTACGTGTGCCGCAGCATTAACTACAATTTTACTTGTTGCTTTTGTTTTGTTTTTTTTTTTTTTTAGACTAGTTTCAGTTGAGTTACGTTACATTTTGTGTGTGTTGTGTGTGTGTTGAGTGTGTGTGTTGTGTGTGTGTGTGGTTCTCTTGCTTTAATGCCTATTTTTTGTTTGTTATTTAGTTAATTTCGGTGGTGGAATGCTTTAACTTTTAAACAGACAGCGCTTAAAAGTGTTTGGCGCTTAAAATTTAATCGTTGTTCTTCCTTTCTGTTTTTTGATGACTTCAGTTTTGGGGCTTGTACTTGTTGTGTTGCCGTCAAGTCCTTTGTCCATAAAGTGTTTCATTTTTCAAACCGTTTTGTTCTTGTTGTTGTTGTACCTCCTTTTTTGTTTTTTTTTTTTCTTTAATTATCTAGGTGTGAGAGTTATTGTTGTTGATTTTGTTTCAGTGTTGCTTTTCATATTTTAGGCAGCAATCGCCTCATTTTGCCGTCATTCCCATTGATGCGGCGATGGCGGCAGCTCCGAAGGATGTGCCACAGTTGAGCTGTTTAAGGTGAACACAAGAATCAAGAAACAATTAGTTAGTTAAGCACAATATCAATTATCTATAACATACAGAGATAGACAGCTAAAGAGAGAGAGAGAGATAGATAGAGAGATAGAGACAGAGAGAGAGAGAGCGAGAGTGAGAAGAACATGCAACATCTAGCAGCTAACAATACAACATAAAAGATATATTTAAGCCACAGTTAAACCGTGTATTAGAAGCATTAAGCATACAACAATAATATACAAAACAAACAAAAAAAACTTGCAACCCACAACAAAAACAAAAAATCAAAATACTTTTATATATAGATATATATATAGTGTTTACTAAAAAATGGATATAAAATGAAATATATGAAAATTCAAACTACAAACATAAATTTGGAATACAACAAACAAAACAAAACAAAACAAACGAAACAAAAAAAAAAAAAACAAAGCAAAAATGATAAATAGTATTTTAGTTATTATTAACTTGAAATGGAAATTTGTTCAAGCATTTTTTTTTTTTGGTTTTTCTTGGTTTTCAAACTACTTTTTTGACCATTGTCACTGCTGCTCAACTGCACTGAATTTTACTACGATTACAGATGGTTTTCAATATGAATTTTGCTGTTTGTTGTTGCTGGCAGTGTTTATATATATATATATATATTTAAGGGGTTTTCTCAATGCTAAAGCTGCTGTGGGACTGTGTTTATTTTGAATGTGGCCAATCGAAATGGGTCGCATTGGTGATATGATGATGCATTGTGTGTGTTGCTCTGATTGGTTGTGACTGACATAAATCTAGTTGGAAAATGTAAAAAGTCAGGTTTTGTTTTGGTGACGACCGTGTGATAAAACATATAAAATAATAGTTTCGGCATGCCGAACATTGAATACCATTGCAGTTATTATATATACACGTATAATGGTCTAGACTCTATACTTATATGTGTAATTCAATCTTTATGAACGATTCTTGCTTCCTTCCTTCATTGAAAAACTATTTTTGGAGTTACTTTAATCTATAAGTTATTATTTCTAGATTGTATATACATATCTAAGCGATTTATTATTTACTTATTACAAATTTCATGATGGAAGATATGTAAGAAGATATCTAAGACATTTTAAAAAATGTTCTTTTAATGTTTTAGGTAGTTTTTGTTCTATGTTGCCTTTGGGTAGGATATATCGGAAAAAATACAAATTATATGAAAAATTGTATTATATATTTTTGGCATTGGGTGAATATTTGTTGGTTGTACATTTGATGTGTATAGTTGTGTATATATGGGGTATATATGGGTGCAGAATTGCTATGTAATTTGAAGAGATTTATAAAGTGTGTATGCGTTTATTGAATAGAATTGATATTTAATGCTGTACACAATATGCGATATTTATATATGTATATGAAATGCAACGGAAACAGAAACAGAAACAGAAAACATAAACATAAATCGATTATGGGTACAGATAGATATATGTATATGCATTGGGTTTTTATGATTATTATTTGTACTTGTTTGGCTTGAAATGTGAAATGTGAAAAATGGTGCCAATATGTCGGTATTTTATTTTTCTTATGCCAATTGATTTTGATCATCTTTTTCATAATTCACCGACCAATTTCTGTCATTTTTTAAACAATTATTAGTTAGGAATTGCCTTATTTTTTGTGTGGTATTATTTATATTTGTATTTTTTTTTTGTTTTTAACAATTATGTACACAAATAGATACGCAAATAACCCATTTAATAATTAAAGTAAGGAAAATTATGAGTTATGTTATATATTTAAAACTAATAATAATAAGAGTTTTATACACATTTGCATTTAAAAGAACAAAAACGAAAACGAAAAAAAATATATTTGTATGTATATGGTGAACATAGGGGTTAAATCATATATAAATTATAAGAAACTTGAAATGATAGAGTTTTTAGCAAATGTATAGCAATAAATGTATTTTGCTTTATCAACAGACCTAAAGATTTCAAGATCGCGCGCATTTGGGAAGTGTTGCTGCTGCCGAGGGGCCCCCAACATATTGTAGCATGTATCGTTATCGTTATCGTTATCGATATCGATTCGTTTCTCGATTCTCGATTTTGGTATTTGCTTGGTATCTTGCTTTCTTTCTTTCTCGCTTGCTTTCTTGCCTTTATCTGCTTACTGTTTTTCTTTTTTCTGGCGGCAGTTTTGTATTGTATAATTATTGTTATTGTTATTATTATTATTATTATTATATTTGTGACTTCTGCTCGATTATTGACTCGTTCTGTATTCTGTGTGTTGCTTGACTTTATTGGTTAACATACATATATATATGTATATATGTATATATATATAAATATGGTATTATATATCGTTCGGTACGCGCCTAGTATTCATTGTTCGTTGCCTGTGCAGCGACAGAGGCGGCGGCGGCGCAGTAGCAGCGGCAGCAGCAGCAGCGACAGGAGCAGCAGTGCAAGTTGTGGTAGTAGTAGTGGTAGTAGTAGTAGATATTCTCATTCTCATTGGCTTTACAACGCAAATATAATAATTAAATTTAATAGAATATTTTTCAATATTAATATATCGATGTTCGAAAAAAAAACACAAAAAACAATTGAAAAAAAAGAGAGAAACAAAAATTAAAATTTTTTTTATAAAATATATATCAAAATAAACAACGTTTAGGTGACAGAGATAGATAGAGAGAGAGAGAGAGAGAGAGACAGAAAGAGAGATAGGGAGAGGAAGAGGGAGAGAGGAAGAGAGTCGGAGACAGAGATAGAGAGAGTGGTGAGTTCTAAAGCAGTTTTAAGGCTTAACAGACTCTTCGGACTCGAAGCAGTGACAAAAACTTTTTTAGAGAGAAGGACAGATTGTGTAAAAGAATAATAGGATAGAGTTTTTTTATTCCAACTGAAAAGCATATTACGAATTTTCGGAACAACAACATAATATATATAGAGACAGACAGAGAGAGAGAGAGAGAGATGGAGACAGAGAGATAGAGAGAGTTGTTTAGAAGAAACTGTTTTAGAATTGTGGGATTTGGGGGGTGGTTTGTTGTTGGGAATGGGAAATAATATTGTTTGCAACGTGCAGCGTGGCATATGGTTGATTGCAACTCACCTGGCAAAGCTCTTGAATGCCGCACTCTGCGGATTAATGCAGAGCGGCACACGACCCGTTTGCAGCTGCTCGGCAATAAATTTATGCATTTCCTCTGTGGAAACAAATGAGTTGAGTCAGATTATTGAAATGGGTTGGTGGCATTGGATTTAGTTTGATGCGACTCACCCTTCACCTGCTGCACAGAGGTGAGTTTGCGCTCCCATAGATCATCAAAGGGCTGACCGGCCGATGGCTCAAAGTCCGCCGTATACTGACGCATGCCAGCTGAGGTAGTGAAACAGCATTTGCACATGCACGAATGATAGCGCAAACGGCCTTCATCCAGATAGGGATGCGCCAAAGCATCCGTCACTGAAATGCGCTTATCCTATAGGAGGGAAGAAGGAGAATGGTTAGAGCAGGCTTAGATTACAGGAGTCTCTCTCTCTCTCTCGGTCTCTATTTCTTACCGGATCAAAGACAAGCATCTGGCAGAGCAAATGGACCGCCTCGTGTGTGGCATGTGAGCTGAGCGTGTACAGCACCGAGAAGGATGGTGGCTTTGGCGCTCGCCTCAGCATGTGTGTGCGTGCCCCCTCGCAGGCATGACGCATATCCTCCATGGTGGGTGTGCCCAGCAGCTCGGTGATTAGCTCCAGCTGCTGTACGGGATTCTGCGCCTGGAACAATATACGTCGGCCGAGCAGCTCACCAAAGATGCAGCCCACCGACCACACATCCACCGCCGATGAATAGTGGCGAGCACCCATTAAAATTTCGGGCGCTCGATAATATTGTGTGACCACTTCCTGGGTCATGTGCTTGGCCTGATCCGGCTCCTCGACGCGCGCCAGCCCAAAGTCACAGATCTTGAGCACACAATTCGAGTTGACGAGCAGATTGCCGGGCTTGATATCGCGATGCAATATCCGTGCCGAGTGCAGATACTTCAATCCACGCAGTATCTGGTATAGAAAGACTTTGATGTGATCCGCGGATAGATGCTGTGGCGACACAATGATCTTGTGCAGATCCGATTGCAGCAGCTCAGTTATCACATAGCTATAGCAAAAAGAGCGTTGAGGATGCAACCACCAATTCATGTGAAACAATCTAAAAGGGTTATTATTATTATCGACTCGAGTAGCCATATGCGATGCGATTTTCACACGATTTTCACACAACCCACACCTTTTTCATCAGCCAACAGGCAACACTGCTGAATAAACTTTTCAGTTTGTTTGTTAGCTTTAAACTTTTTCAATTAAATAGTTATTCGTTTGGGGTTTTTGGCTTAACGTTCGTGCGCTAAAATGAAAATAGATTCGCCTGGCTTTCATTTTCCCCTGTCAACCCCAAAAGAAAAACACTTTCAGCAACTGTGACTCAATCCGATGCGGCCAAACATGTTGGATATCTAAATCTTCTCAGCTTAAATGCGGTTCACAGCTGTTGAGCTTCTTAGTTAGTTTAGTCAAGAGTGTTGTATGCACTTGAAAAATGGCTAAGATTTGGATGGGTACGAATGGAAAATTGAGTTTAGTCTGCTTATAACTAAATGTTTTTCTCTTGGTGAATATTCAAAATTTTCCGTAGCCATAACTTTGTTTGACCTCTAGAATAATGTTGCATTTAAAGTTGGAAACGAGATTGTAACTCGAAATTGATGTTAAAATTATAGCCTCAAAAAGTGCCTATAAACACTCGACTAACCTTCACATTGTCATAACTTTTTTCAAAAAACAAGTGCTGACTTGAGCCCAGAATTTATATATTCATATTCATATTTCTACGATTACCAGTTACCAGACTTAAAAGTCTGTTTGTTAAGGCTACGCAAACTGATTAAGATCTGTCTTAATTGTGGCGACAACTTTGTCACTTAATTTAATTGCCATCGCACAACTATTTTGAGGATGCAATTGTTATATTTTTGTTTTGTTTTCGTTTTGTTGTTGTGTAAAAAAGGATACATTTCCTGAAAGAAGTCCAAATGTGGTGGCTGTAAAATGTCCAAAGCTGACAGCACCTGCAATGAGAAAGGAAAGCAAAATCAAATAAAGTTTCTTTAATAAATCTCAGCACACACACACACACACACAGAATGTAAGTAGACGGCGAGTGTGTGTTTATTGGAAGTAGCATTTGCAACATAAATCTTGAAACAATGCTGCAACATTACACCTACAACGAAAGCAGCAGCAGCAGCAGCAGCAGCAGCAGCAGCGACCAACACCCATTTGAGCTGGTATCAACTTGGTTAAGATCATAAATTATGCACTCCAATAAAATATAAATAAAAATCAAGCTTGCAGCGCATCAAATGCGCCATTTAGTTGGATGTTAAGTGTCGCTGCCAGGGACTAAAATGCCACAAAGTTCAGCAGCAGCAACATGCAACAACAGCGATGACCCGTTGATGATGTTTAGCGGCAGATACAAAACACGCCACTGTCTGTGCCGCTTCGGGGGAGCTGTCTGATTGTCTGCAACAGCAGCAGAAGGCAACGGCTCTATAAAAAAATATATAAATATAAATAAAAAACGGAACGTACTGGCAAGAAGTTGATGGACAGCAGAACACAAAGAGCATCAACAACAGCAGCAACAGCAGCAACAACAGCAACAACAACAATGCTTGGCACAAGCGTCGACAGAGCCAAAGCCCTCTGCGCTAACTGCCCCGCTTTGGACTCGAATAACCGCCCTTCTCCCCCCACGACCTCCTCTGTTCCCTACCTTTTTGTCCCGGCCAAAGACTGAGCTGCAGACAAGCGCTGATTTATTTTGCTTGCGGTCAAAATGATGAAGGAACTTCCACTTCAACCAAAAAGCAGTCAACGGCATTCGCCGCAATCCCAGCACAAATCTAACAGCCAAGAACAACAATGAGATAACCGCACGGAAGAAGAAGAAGAAGTGGAAGAGTTGGCAGTTGCAAGTCTGTCTGTCACACATGCGAGAGCTTGCAGCAACAGCAACAGCAGCTGCAGCATCAACAGCAGCAGCAAGCTTTAAAAATCAATTTTCAATATCGTTTAACCAGTTCACATCTGCCATAGAGATTCCCCCCAAAATAAGTATATGAAAATTGCCAAAACCACAGACACGAAAATGCGAATGCGTGAGGCAACAAATATGTTGCACAACTTCACATTATTGTTAGCCTTTTGTTGTTGTCTGTCCCCTTTGCTCTTCCTGCTGCGATTGTCTGTCGGCAAAAAGGCCACAACAAATTTTTGCGCACTTTTCAAAATACACATAGAGAGAGAGACATACACAGAGACACACACATAGAGAGAGACATACACAGAGACACATACACAGAGTCACACACACATAGAGACACACACACACATACATCGACTTAAAGTGCCGCCGAGTTGCTAAGCCGTCGACTTCGTCGTGGTCTTAAGTGGCAAAAGTATTTTTTTGTTGTTTTGTTTTTAAGTTTACAAGAGCTGGCTTTGAGCCTTAGAGTCTTTGAGGGTTTTCGTATCGTCGTCTTTGGCATTGTTTTTGCAACAGTTCTCGTAATATTTCAATGACGTTCGCTGCTGCTGTAATTTAGCGACTGCATTTGTTGCGCTTGCGGTTTCACAAGCCACAATAATAACATGAGCCAAACACCAAAGCGAAGCTTAAATACTTTACTCAAATACTCTCAATAACGCCAGAGTTTCAGTGTAGCATTTTACACTGGCTTTAACAGTCGTCGCAGTTGATTAAGAATTATGTGTTAATTTTTCCAACAAAATTGTATTATTTACAAGTCTAACAAGAGCACGGTTAAGAGGCCGTTTGAGTTAAGATGGGGCATTGCTGCAACTAACTTTACACAATCCTAATCATAATTGCTGGCTAAAGATTGTTCCAGCCGTGAAACTATTACTACGACTCAGCTCGATGAGCAAAGCTGCTGTAAAAGCTAGGGGAACTGCTCCTTGGGCAGTGTATAGCAAAACCTTCAAGTTAGTAAGTTGGCTTAGTTGCTTGCTGGCTGCTTGTTTCGCACACAATTTGTTGCAAGCCGCTGCTGTGGTTGCTGTTGTTGTTGTTGTTGTTGCTACGTTTAGTTTACTACCTGGGGTCCGCACTGTTGGCCTCACACGTGCGTTGCCGCTGCAGCTAATTAACATTTCGTTGTGGCAGGCAGGCAGGCAAGCAGGCAAGCAATCAAAAACCAAATTTATGCAGTTTATATTGGCAAGCTTTTGGCTACTGTCCTTGAAGTTAACAGATGTTTCTTTCTTTCTTTTTTTTTGTCCAGCTGCGTGAAACTAGGCGTGTCATAATACGAGAAAAAAAAAAAACAGCAACAACAATAACAACTTAGACAACAACTTTCTTGAGGTGCAGCTGAACAAGTGTTGCAAGTGGCAACAGCTGTGCCATATCGACCATTGTTGTTGTTTCTATTTAAGAGAAGATGTAGAATAAAAACGCAAACATAATCAGCAATAGCATCTCTCGCCTCGACTCTGCTCCGCGGCGCCCTCTTCAAAGTCTTTAAATGATTTCAACTGAATTTCAAGTGGTCGCAGCAACTCAAGTTGCTTTAAACAAAAGCAAAAGTGTTGTTAGCTATATTTTCATGCCAAGCGAAAAATTCTAGATAAAAAATAGTTGCAGCCAGCTGCTGCTGACAACATTTCTACCTGTTTTTGTTGTTCCTCTGCTGGGCTTGCTTGCTGGCATGCTAAACTAATTAAAACGCCACCGATTTTTTTTTGTTAAACATTTTGTCAGCTTATTGTCGAGACCTTGAGCTGAGATAATGATCTGAGCCAGGTCAAAGCTGGTGTAATGAGTTCCAGCTAAAAATGCAGACAGCAGCAGCTGTTTAATATCATGGGCTTGATTTTGATTTGATTTGATTTGACGTTACTTAGGAGCAATTCAAAACACATTTGCACATGGCCTGTCTGGCAGCCAGTCAAGACAGATCAAATCTCTTGGCAATCGATTGATATATATATATATATAAACACATATAAAAGTGTAACCGAAACGCACATCCATCAGATTTTTTGGCAAGAAATGAAATTGACATTTCAATTGCAATTTGTTTGGCTAAAAGAAGCGCCCCAAAAAGCAAATAATAATAACAAAATTTGCATGCAATTGAACTCGAAACTCAATCATTTACATCACTGATGACTCTGTGTGTGTGTTGTGTGTGTGTGTGTGTGGGGTAGGTGTGTGCTGCTGCTGCCGCTGCTCCTGCAAAGGCAACACTTCGTCGTCGACAAAAAAAAAAAAATACAAAATAAAATACACACGTCGGTTGCATGTGAGAAATGCTTTTGAAATGTGCGCCACGTTCGTTGCAAAATCTTTTATTGAAATAAGCAGCAACAATAATGGAGCAAACATTTTACAGCGATTTGTTAAAATGTGTATTGCACATAAATTGCATTGCAGATCAAGCACAGATACACACACACACTCACACACACACACAGTCGGTATTCAGTGCCATATAATGGGAAAGCAATTGAGACGATTGCCAGTCTCTTGACTGTCACTCGGATCATTGTGTGACTCGGGAATTGTTTGGCAATTGGTAAGAAGGAATAACTGCTTGTCTCGCTTACACATGGAGAGGGCTTGTAGAGAGCCACAGTAGATTCAGGTAGATGAAAAGCGCAACAATTTAAAAGATATTCAACTAAAAATCTAAACACCGGAACTGAGTCGGACATGCTTTATTCTACAAGTTTTCAAAGTGTTGCTCTTAAGCACGTATTTGCAACAAACAATGTTGCTCATATCAAAGTCACTGCAAAGAAACACAAACATGCTATTAGAGACAGAGAGAGAGAGAGAGAGAGAGAGAGAGAGGAATGCAATTTTGATATTCTAATAAATTAGAACATTTGAATAAAATCCAGCAACTGAATTCTCGCCTCGAGCACTAGTTGCAAAGACTACTACGGCATTCTGCATTTATTCCACCCACGTGCTGAGCTCAGAGCTCTGGTCACACCTTTGCCTCTGGTATACCCATTGAATATGCAAACGTCTCGAGCCCCATTTAAGGTTGATTGCACTTGTTTGACATGACGTCGACGTCGTTGCATGTAGGAAATGAAAATGGAATTGAAACAGGAAGCCAACAACAGAGACACATCGGCAGCTGCAACAACTACAACAATAGCAATAATTACAATAGCAACACACACATATTTTTTCATTTTTTTTTTCATTTTTTTTCTTTTCCATAAAGCACTTTGCATATTAATACAAATTTGCATAGGTGTTGGCACAATGCTCGTGCATTTTGAAGAGTGGGCAGAGTTCGCTTCATTAGGGTATCTCTTCAAATGCATTACATAATTTAGACTTTCAACTCACTAACTAAAGATGCAAATATTTTCCCATATACTGGATATGTATTCATAATTTTAACACTCTGCCCACGTTTGATTTGATTTGATGTCGAACGAATTGAATCGAGTGTTGCTTAATTCAAGAGTCTCGCTGACATTTACGTTCCAAGCATGTGTGTCATAAATAACATGAAAGTTTGCTCAACAATTTATTTCGACTAATGACTTCATTGACATTTCTGGCCAAATGTCATAAAATTATTATCACAAAAAACAACAACAAAAAGGAGCTGAGCAAAAACAGACAATCAAAGATCGGTTTTGCATTGTGCACGTGAACAAAACGCAACAAAAACGAAACAAATGTGTTCAGATAAATATATTAAGGCAAATCGGCACAAAGTCACATAAAACTGGCAATAAAATCGCACACAATGCAGCTGTCGACCTCTGTGCACACTCCTCCCCCCGCCACCCTCCTCAAACTTCCTTCAATCCTCTGTGCCACACTTATCGTGCAATATTTTTTGCTTTATATTAATAATTTCAACAATAATGAATAACAATAATTCTTAAACATTTTGCTGGCATTTGACTTTTTGTGGCCTGTCCATATGCCTTTTTGTCTGTCCGTCTGTCTGTCAGTCTGTCTCCCTCTATCTATCTCTCCCCTCTCTCGCTCTCGCTCTCGCTCTCTCTGCTCTGCTCTGCTCTGCTCTATGTCCGCTTGTCAGTGTTAACAAATTTGCATGCAACGTTTTGGGGCAGTTTTGCATTCTCAGTTTCGTATTTGTTATTTATTTTTTTTTGTTTTTCATTGCAATTTCTTGTGCATAAAATTTGTATGCCATAAATTTTTGGGCCTGACAGCCTTTTGTGCGGCCAGCTGAGGTAGGTGGGCATGGCCTCATGTGGGCGTGACACAGCAATAAATGTGTGTGTGTGTGTGTGAGTTCTCTCAATTTGATTTGTTTTATGAAAAGTCTGGGTAGCTGCACAATGAATATGAATGAGTTAATTAGTGTTATGAATGATTGATTCACAACTGTCACAGAATACAACAAATTGATCAGTGTCACTTGGCCGTACACAAGATGTGATATTAATCTGTGAGATATTTGTGTACAGTTCATTATATTATAATACAAAGAACAAAAGCAATATGACTCAGTTGTTAACTAAGTTGCCCAAATTAGGCTTTAAGCTTTCAACTGTAGTCAGTATTCTAGTGTCGCTCAGGTGTTAATATCTTTTTACAGAGTTGCTCAGCTTTCCATATGAATAGCATTGAGTAATCATATGTAATGAACAGTATATTTAAATGAGTCGGGACTATATGTAATGCCAACTCTCGACGCACTACATATGTTTAAGCCAAGTCATTCAAGATACAAGCGCAACATATAATTTAACATTACGCTTATGTGAAGTGTTTAATTTGTGACATTAATTATACAGCGCATAAGCGGAACTTGCTGTGACAATAACCAAACAACAATAACAATAACTGCCACAGACAATATTAAATTGAAGTTGTGTCCAAAAGGCAATTAGTGCCAGGATATGTCAGCAGTGAGTGCGCGTGGCAAGCAAAAAGGATCCGAATCAGTATACCGAACCATGACGACGTTTGAGTTGTAAATAATACAAAAATTAAAATATAATTGTTAATAAATGCGCAAGCGAAACGTGCAAACAAGCGTATCGACTGCCAGATACCCTGTAGAATATGGTCAAATGCTCTAGCTCAGTTTCAGCTCTGAAATACTCCCTCACATCTAGTTGTCTGGTGTCAGAAGCGTTTCTATATATGCTGCATTTACAGGATATCAATGCCAGAAGCCCTGACAGAGGGATTGAGTCCTTGCCGTAGTCACTGCGAATGCGTAATATTTGAGTGTGTGTGTGTGTGTGTGTCTGTGTCCACAAAGGGAACTGTACAGAATATATATTTTTGCACTCTGTGCGGATAGTGTCAGTCGCAGCAAGAACAACAATAAAAATCGAATTGGATTTTTTAATTAAATTTGTATGTCATAAACGCGTCGCGTAATTAAATGTAGGGCATTTCTTTGTTGAGTTTACGATGGAATTACAATACACGTATAAAATATACACATGTATATATATGTATATATATGCAGTACTCACGTTCTCATGCTTGAAAAAGCAAAGCATTTTCAGTTCACGGAAAACGCGCTTGGATGAGACCAACGATTGGAAAACATTTGGCAGCTTTTTCAGTGCGACGCGGCGTCCATCACGCGGATCTGTAACGGCCCTGGAAGCGAGAAGAAAAAAGAAAGATAAGTTTGAGATATCAAATCAAAGACAGGAAGTCCCTTTATCCAGAGAACATAGCTATAGATAAGAAAAGCATAACCAGTTAAATATAAGTTGCAACTCTCAGCTCCGCGGCTAAATAACAAAGAGATTTAAGTATTTGGCAACGGGCACTCTGTGCGCATTAGCCGTGGGGAAAGGGGTAGAATGGGAACTTAACTTTGCATTAATATTGTCGAAACAATAGACCGTTACAAAAAAAAAAAAAAAAAGCTGCGAGGCACTCAGCAAACAGACAGATAAACAGACACAAACAAACATACAAACATACAAGCGCTGCAGCAAGTAAGCTAACAGACAAACAACAAATGTCGATTGTTTTTGTCTCGCAAAAAAGGGTTCACTGAACTTGGCCACAACAGTAACAACTGGCAAGAGGCCTAGAAGTATGCAGCACTCAAAATCATATCTCTCTCTCGAATTGATAAACACTGCAAATTAGCAACGCAGAAAAAGGTCAAACAACAGACGAGACGCGACGATTCGAGTCGAGACACAATCCAATGCTACAGTTTTATATACTTCTGGCTGCTACCCCTTCTACCTGTTCAATTTGAGGCAAGTGCGTGCTGTGCGACAAACAACGGGAAAGCTGTCGACGCAGCGGCGTCAATTCAATTCAAGACCACCAACAACACCAGCAAAAGTACAAAAACAACACGAGCAGCTTTTAGCTAGCTAGAATTTTATGATGCCATTGGCCATGGCCAAAAAGTGCGAATGTCTGGGCTAAAAGGCAGGGCGACGGCGTCTTTGTCGCCGTCTGTCTGACTCATTCCGCAGTTATGAACATCTATTTCGCTCGCTCTCCAACCCATTCTCCTCCCTCCCTCTCCCTGTCTCTCTTTCTCTCTATCTTTCTCAATTTGGCTACTGCGAAGTTGCAGTCGAAAAATATTTTTGTTATGGTTTTTGCGTTGGCCAAAAGCAAACAAGAAGAGAAAAAAAAACAAGCTCAAAATTACGCATCATCTTATTTATTATTTTTTTTCGTTTTGGCAGACTTGTCACCCGTTTCTTCATCCTGACTATTGCCCTCCTTGCTCTGCTTCTACTTATCCTTCATCTATGAAAAGTTGGCTGCCGTAAATCTTTCGACTCGTCGTTAAGCGTTAAAATTATGGCAAATTGCTGTAAATTGGTTTGAATTGCCTTGCGGCCAGATGACTCATCATTTGCCTCCCAATGCGGCGGCTGCCTCTTGTTCATCTTGGCGTTTTTGTTGTTGTCTACATTTAGGCGCTGCTCGCATCGCCCATTTGCATGTCTAATAGCAAACGGGCCAACTGTCGGCATCTTAATGATAATGACTTGATTATACGAAAAATCCAAACACTTTTAGTTCTATTTTTAGTGTATATTTGCTAAGACATTTCTATGCACAACATTTTCGATTACAAAAAAGAAAAGTTGCAGCCTAAAGTTGTATACAGATTAAGCTGTAATCTGTGTAGGCTTAATTGAGGACTCGAGTGTTAAAAGAGTTGGGTTAAGTGTGTTATGTACACATCTAAATTCGATTTTAGCCAATTTTCGATGACAGTATAACAGTCTCTACAAATAAGTCAAGAAATTTCTATTGAATCAATCTCATCAATTTGAGTTATTTGCTTATGCACCAGCACCAGAGCCGCACAATCTCTTCACAATCTGAGCCATTTGGTGGTTACTCTAAAGAAGACCTTGACGTCAAAGTCAAATCAAAGGAAAATTCAAATATACACTAACGAACACACACACACACACACAGAGAGAACACATGTGTGCTACGCACATTAATATTTTACGGTCATCTATCAAATCTGAAGAAAAAAATCAAACATCGGTCGTGGTTGGGTCACTCTGACTCTGACTCTGGCTTTGGCTCTGGTCGCCTGCTGTCTCCCGTTTCTCTCCATACTTGTCTGTCTTTTATTCCTATTATTTTTTTTTTTCCAAAGCATCAAGTTACAAAATCAAAAAAAAAAGAGAAAAAAGAAAGAAAATCAACATTAAGACATGCCCAGCGGTTCTCTCTTAACTTGTTCAACACTGTACGCATTTCAGTTGAAATTGGGTTAAACAAATTTTGTACATGAAAACCACACACACACACATGAACACACACACACACACACACACACGAAAAATTGTAGAAAAATCGTTGAGAAAAACTAAGACAAATAATTCCGAGTTGATAAAATTGTATGCATTAGGATTGTTGGCGCGGGAGGGGCAATAATAGAGCACAGAGAATGCCGCCGCCATCGTTGATGATGGATGACAAATGCAAGCACATTACATTGTAGCAAACACACACAGATACACACACATACACATACATATACATATATCCGTACACTTATTGAGCCAGTGAGAGGCACAGCATGTATTCGGAGTCGAAGTTTCTATGCTTGGCTTTGTCCTGCTGTTGCCCTTCGGCTACGCCCTTTAGTTGAATTCTTTCTTCAATGGCAGTTAATGGAAAATCATTTATTATGTGCGTGTCGCCGTCTCAGGCACTCGAGTAGAACTTATAGAAGCATCAGCAGCAGCAGCAGCAGCAGCAGCAGCAGCAGCAGCAGCAGCAGCAGCAGCAGCAGCAGCAGCAGCAGCATCAGCAACTGCTTACAGAAACCAGAATCTTAAGAGTCCGGTGAAACAAAAAGTGCCATAACTAAATGATAATTACCAAGGCAGCACAAAAAACTGAAATCCTATCCTAAAAGATTGTTATCTGCTCTGTTCTCTTTGCTGTTGCTGTTGTTGCAGCTATGGCCCTTTTGTGCTGGATACCATCAATTTGTGTTGGACAATTTGTGCACGCAATGTGAAAACTGTAGCAAATCGTTTCTGGTTTTCTGATTGATTTCAGAAAATTAAACATGAGAATGCTCTAGCTGACTGACTGACAGACGGACAGACGGACAGAATGCCCTGTAGTGATTTTCTATTCTGAAATCTGTCCGCATTGCATATAGATAATTTGCATAGCTGTTTGCTTAACATATTACTCGTATTTAGATAGATATTGTGCATTTGTTAAGTTATGGTAAATAATATCTGTAATAATCTGTAATCTGTTCAGTTGGTACACATTTCTTTAATCCGTTCTTGCATATAGGGTATATACGTAATCAAAATGAGTGTTCATTCTGTTGCACAATTGGAAATTACTTTTTGGTCTCAATTCCGACTTGCGTTTTTCATCAGGTGCTTGGCTGCTGGGGCCAAGCGCATTTCGTGCTCAAGTGTTGACTGCAAACTGTGAATGCTGCAAGGTGGGCTGGCTGGCTGGCTGGCTGATGACCATGTCTATGGCTAAAATCAAATCAGACACCAATGTCCGTTTGGCACGTGATTGGCAAATGCAAAAGGCAGCATTCAACGAAATGAAACGAAAAGTTCAAATGGCGATTTTGGCATTGGAAAGTTTTAAACTTGACTTCATATTTGAATGGTTTCCTGTCCTCGCCTACGGGCATCCTAACGGTCCCAGCTGCCTCTTATTTTCATTGCCAGCACAAATGGTAGTTAGCCCTTTCTTGCATTTGATGCCACATCTTTCTGACCCAACTGTCTCTCGCTGCCATATGTACGTATCTGTATATATATGTATGCATATTTTTTAATCTCATTTGATTTCTTCTGACATTTTGCACATGCTTTTTGAATAACTCATCACCTTTGCCGCTTTATCCAATTCTTAAACTGTTCCATCACATTCCACAAACGAGCATTCGTTGCTCGTTGCCTGCGGCCTTAACTTGCTCGTCTGCTTTTCCTGCCGCCCTGCCCCAACCCGACAGATCCCCCCGCTCCCGCTGCTCCACCCTCGAAAGTCAAACTCCTTTGGCAGCTCCTGCAGCCGTTCATTGAACTTTGTCGACAGCTCACTGCGCATTTCTTTAAATAATTTTTATGAACAGCTTTTGAGGAGCGGTCTTAAATTTAATTTGTATGTCGGCCTTCATATCTTCTCTTCTTCTTCTTCTTCTTCTTCTTCTTTTACTTCTTTCTCTTTCTCTTGCTGGTTTTTATTTTTTTGCTTTGCGCGTTTTGCACGCGTCATAAACCGCATGTAAAACGCGCGCGCAACAATTGTTGCAATTAAATAAAATGGTTAACTGTTCAATTACTAATTGCAGTTTGGCTATAATTATAGCTCATTACGCATGCCATATCACAACTAGTTACCAGGAAATCATGTCTGCCCCCTACATAGCTGTTGCAGCTGAGGTGTGGGGGTTGCAACTGAATATGCCACATTGGTGTATTGTGTTTCGCGTGTAAATTAGTAATTTATGTTGTTGCAACTTTGTAGTGGCTTCATTTTGATTGTCACTGTGTATATCCATCAATATGGGTTTTCTCTGTCTGCTTGCGATGCGTCAAGCTTACACAACACAACAATATATATATATATATATATATATATATATTGCGAGTCCCAATCCAGGCGACAAATTTGACAGATGGCAAGAGATCGAAAGATTACCCACAGCCAGCTGAAGGGACTTGTGAGATTTTTGAGCGATGACGGTCACAATTAACAAAAAAAACTGATGACTGATTATATACTGGTTATTTATGGCATTTATAAGAGAATATGCTATTGCATAAATCCAGTTCTTTATTCAAACCAAACCTCAACTCCAATTCCAATCCAATAGCAGATTTAATTGCATATTTAACTCAGTTATGAAGTCTTCAAGAATCTGGAGAACAGATTACTTGAACATGGACGGGATCTCTCTAAGCCAGTTGCTCATTTAAGCCAAATCTACCAAATCCCTAATTTCAGTTTCAGTTGAATTTCAACACATTTGTCGCCTGACTGAATCGCCCGCTGTTTTGCCACACAAAGCATGATGCAAACTGCGCGTAATTCGCATGTTTTGGGCAAGCGTTTCGAGCGTTGCCCACTGTTATAATTATGGCAATGTATGCCAATACCAG